TGCCTGAGGCTGTTTTATGGTTAACCTTTTTTTCCATAAGCAGAAGGAATATACCCTCAACGATCAAAAGTATAGTAAATACATAAACCAGTAACAGTTGTTTATTATCAGGTATTGTATACTGTACATAATTGTATGTGCTATACTTTTATATGACTGGCAGAGCAACATGTTTGTGTACACCAGCATCACCACAAACACATGAGTAATCAGATGTGCTATGATGTTATGAAGGCTATGACATCAATAGGCAATACGAATTTTTCAGCTCCATTATATGGGAGCACCAACATATATGTGGTCTGTTATTGACCGAAACATCATTATGTGGTACATGACAGTATAAGAAAAAAATTGACCTTTCAGTTAATCAAGGGATGTAAATTAAATCAAAAGTGAGACATCTTTTTTTATTAATCAATACTAGCAAGATTGAATATTTTTGGAAGGTTGTGTGCAAGTGAACACTCATGGTTCGCTGGGGGAACATGTGAATTGGTATATACTTTTTTTCATCCAAGTTTGGAACAAATCAAGACTTAAAAAGGGAATACCTTTGACCCACCAATTCCATTTTCAGGAATTTGTCCTAATAATTGGACAAGTGCTCACAAGTAGCATAAGTATGTTCATATCAGTATGATTTAGAATAGGAAAATATTAAAAACAACCTAATCCCATATCAATATGGGATTGATCAAATCAAACACAGCACATTAAAATATAAGAATTATATTCAATCTTTTAAAAAAGGCAGATATTTAATATTAAATGAAAATTTCTGGTTATAAAACAAGATCTTTGAAATAGGCAGTTATATGTGTATATTTGTATAGAACAAATTCTGGACAGACATGTATTAAAATGTTAGCAGGGGATTATCCCCAAAGGGTAGAATTAGAGTTGTTTTCAATTTTTCTTTGTATTTTTGGTAATTTCAGAATATATTTTATAGTAAGCCTCAGGAAATAAAGGTGTTTATATTTTGGAAAGTAAATACCTTGGAAGAAATAGTATTTGGTTTTCTGGAGGCAACAGTAGGTGAGCTGCGTACTGGATATCAGCTTATTTATTCTAGCTTTTTGGGGCACACTTTCCTCATACACATTCACACTTAATCATTCAGTGACCCACAGCCATAAATAACTAGAGTTAAGGTATATATAATTGGTTTAATATTAGCCATTTTTGTATAGCTCATGTATACACGTGCACATACGTACACACGTGTATGTATGTGCGTACGTGATTTCAGCAACTTTAAGCAAGGAATGTGTGAGGATAATTTCTGAACAAAGTTCTATAAATATTAACATTAGTTTTTAAATACCTAAAAAATATCAATGAGTATATTCTTGGTCTCTTAGCGCTTCTGATTCTTCCCCTTTGTCATGCTGAACACAACTGGAATCCTCAGAGCTGGCAGCAGAAGGCTGCCACAATACATAATCTGTGTAGTCTATGGCAGGCTACATAGACTTGTACCAATTTGGATCCTTCTACCTTGATCATATCCATAGAACATCTGAACCGGAGGCAAGGTTGCAATTCCCAGTATTCTCCTAACTTGAGCATGTAATCTGTAGGGAAAAAACTGAAATTAAGATCAACATTTCAGCCGGGCGCGGTGGCTCACGCCTGTAATCCTAGCATTCTGGGAGGCCGAGGC